GCTGATGCACTGAGCAAAATGGCTAGTGCTATAGCACTGCCTATGTATACTGAAGATTCACAATTGATTTGAACAAAATTTTCCATGCCAGAGTTTTGGTGAAGGTTGATATCACTAAGCCATTATTGGAGAGTATAGAGTTTGTTACCTCTTCTGGCACTAGGAAGCAGGAAATACTCTATGAATGGAGGCCAAAATTTTGTAGTGAATGTATTCACTTTGGCCATGACAATTTTGAATGTTGGAGGACTAATCACCAGAATCATGAAGAGGCTGAATTCAAGGCTCCTAAAAGAAGAAATAGGGGCAGAAGGAAGAAAGTAGTACAGGAATAAAAACCAAAGGAATAACAAGAGCAGAGAGATGTAGTAGAGGGGGCAGATGAAGAAAACCTACAAAATGAGGCAGACAAGGGCAAACAGAAGGCAGTATATGAGAATGTCTCTACTCAAAGGGTGCAGGTGATAAATAGAAATGAAGAGGGCAGGGGTCAGCACAGTCTAGCTGCATTATAGCGGACTCACTCTGATGAGGCCAACACTACTAATAGGTTCAAAATATTGGGAGAGTGTGGGCAGAGCTCTGCACAAGGAGATGGGGCTGCTATTGAACCTATCCAAAACCACCATGATCATTTGCACTTGAAATATAAGGGGACTGAATAAACCCTATAAGCAGTAGAGTTAAGACTCTTTTTGCAAAAGAATAAAGTAGACATTCTTGAGTGTCTAGAAACTAGAGTAAAGGAAAGGAAGGCAAAAAATATAGTGAATAAGGTAGCTAAAGATTGCGGATATTGTTGTAATTACACTAAGGCTACAAATGGAAGGATATGGTTGTTATGGAGGACAAACTTGATATTTAAGGTAATCCAGATTCATGAGCAATTCATTCAATGCTCAGTGGAAGATCCAGTAACCAATTCTCTGATTATGTTGACAGTAGTATATGCTAGGAACAAGGTACAGAAAAGGGTAAGTCTATGGAATGACTTGCAGATATCAGTGGGTCAAATTCAAATACCTTGGCTCATCAGCGGAGATTTCAACAATGTCTTAAACCACAGATGATAGGTTAGGACAACTAGTGACAAGGAGCGAGGTACAGGATTTCAAGCAATGTATTGACAATATGCAGCTAACCCCATTAAGAACAAAGGGGTGTTTCTATACATGGTGTAACAAGCAAAAAGCAAATGATAGAGTATACAGTAAAATTGATTGGGCTTTTAGTAATTTCAGCTGGACTAAAAGTTATGGGCATCTGGAAGCTGATTTTCTAGAACCTGGAGTTTCTGATCACTCTCCAATCATTGTCAATTATGGAAAAGAAAACTATCCATCCCAAGACTTTCAAATTATACATGGTAACAATGGAGCATAAGGATTTTAGGCCTATGGTGGAAAAAGTATAGCAACAACAAGATGAGCAGGATCCTATGACTACTATATGGCTGAAGCTGCAAAGACTAAAAGATGAGGCTAAAGGACGGAACAATGAGATGGCAAGTTATGAGCAAAGACTGACTCAAATCAGGCAGAGGCTGGAATGTACTTAAGCTAATATGGTCCTGGATCCTTTCAATCAGATGTTGATAGAGCAGGAGAAACAGATTATAAATGAGTTGGAGAAATGGAGTACTATAGAAGAAAGGATATTGAGGCAGAAATCTTGAGCAACATGAATTGATTATGGTGATTCTAATTCTAAGTACTTCTTTGCACAGATGAAAACTAGGGCAAGTAAGAATATCATTACAACTGTATATAATGACATGGGAATGAAGATCACTGATCCAAAAGCTATGAAAAAAGAGTTTATCAGCTTCTTCACTCAGCTAATGGGGAATGCCAATGGGTTAATGCCATGTCAAAACACCAAAATTATTAAAGCAGAGAACTGTCTTACAATACAATATCAACATGAACTAATAAGGGAATTAATTTATGATGAGATTGATGAAGTTGTCAAGGATATGACTAAGGATAAAGCCCCTAGAGTTGAAGGTTATCCTATAGAGTTTTTTACCAAGAAATGGGAGATAGGGAAGCAGAACATTTGTGAGGCTATATCATACTTCTTTCACACAGGTAGAATGATGCCAACATGGAATTGTACAACCATTACATTGATTCCTAACGTCCCAGCTCCAACAAAAGTGAAGGATTATAGGCCTATTGTTTGCTGGACTACACTGTATAAGATTGTTGCCAAGATCTTGACTAGAAGAATAAAAAATGTAATACAGGTGATTATTGGGAAGTCTCAATCTACTTTCATTGAAGGAAGGAATATCATTGACAACATTCTATTTAGCCACGAGCTATTCAAAGGCTATAATAAGAGAGGTTTATCTCTTAGATGTGTGCTTAAGGTTGACATTAAAAAGGCTTATGACTCATTGGATTGGCAATTTCTTAGGTGCATGCTTACTGACCTTAGTTTTCCATAGAAATTCATCCATTGGATAAGGAATGTGTGTCAACAGTATTATACTCTTTGGTACTCAATGGTGGCTTTACCAAACCTTTCCAGGCTAAGAGAGGGAATAGACAAAGGGATCTTATGTCTCTTTGTCTATTTGTCATTGCAATGGAATATTTACAAAGGGAGATGAGCCAACTATCAATCTCAAAGGAGTTCAAATACCATCCAAGATGCAAAAAAAACTAGGGGTGACTCATATTTGTTTTGCTGATGACCTATTAATGTTTTGCAGGGCAGATATAACCTCAATAACCAAATTGCAGGAAACCTTTAACATATTTTTTACTGCATCTGGCCTTCAAGCAAATATAGATAAGAGTTCTATGTATATTGTTGGTGTTCAACATCATATCAAAGATCTATTGCTCAATCTCACAGGATACACAGAGGGATCTATTCCTTTTAAGTACCTGTGAGTTCCTTTATCTGCAAAGAAGCTGAACATCCACCAATGCCTGCCACTGGTGGAAAAGATTACTAAAAAGGGTAAATTTCTAGTCAACTAGGATGCTATCTTACTCTGGAAGGGTGCAACTCATTAAGTCTATACTATTTGGCATACAAACTTACTGGGCTCAAATATTCCTACTGCCTAATAAGATCATGAAAATGTTTAAGACCATATACATAACTTTCCTTTGGATGTGATCAAATGTCATTTCCAGGAAAGCACTAATAGCTTAGGATAAGATCTGTCAGCCTAAAGCAGCAGATGGATTAAACATTATCAATATGAGGTTATGGAACAAAGCATCAATTCTAAAGCAATTATGGCCATTGGCGATGAAGAAAGATGACTTATGGATCAAATGGACTCATAGTTACTACATAAAATACAAGGACATTGATACAATGGACACACCTAAGGCAGCAACTTGGTTGGTCAGGAAGATAATAAAAGCAAAAAGAGACTTGGTACAGGTGAACTCAATGCATGCCAATTTTAATATAACATTGGCAGACATGGTGAAGTAAGGCAGATTCCAAATTCAAAAAGCATACATTCAGATGCTACCTCAATTCCCCAAGGTTAGCTGGAAGAGCATACGCCTGCATACACAGGTTCACCCAAGGTTCAAATTTCACTTATGGCTGGCAATTCATCAAAGGTTAGCCACGGTAGACAGACTACTCAAGTTTGAAATCCAAGTACCACAAGATTGTATTTTCTGTGCTAGAAGTGTGAAAATATTTAACCATCTTTTTTAACTGTTCAAACACAAGATAGTTTGGGACAAAATACTAAGGTGGCTGGAAATTACAAGGAAGATTGGATGCTGGCAAGATGAAATAGAGTGGATCAGTAATATCGCAAAAAGGAAAAATGGCATGGCTGACATTACAACTGCAGCTTTTGCGATGGTAGTATACTGTATTTGGCGTGAAAGGAATTCCCTTAGATTTAACAAAGGCAGATATATGGTGGATGAGATATGTAAAGAGATTTCTCTACACATGCACATACAAGGGAGATCAAAAATCAAATGGCAACAAACTTTGCAAAGATTGAACAAGTACCCTTAGAATAGTTATTATTTGATTGATAGTGTAATTAGCTTGCTATTTGTAATAGTGATTAGGAGGTTGATGGTCGGCATTAACCTAATTTTGTAATGACAGTTTTTTGATGAAATGAAAAGTTAGTTTTATAAAATAAAAATAAAAAAATAACGCGAAAGTTTAGATCTTGGTTGTAGATCTTTGTAATCGTCATCGCTGAATCAATAAAGATAGATCTCCTAGCTATCAATGACATTCCTTCTTTTCCTTCTTTGCTTTTACATTACAGAACAATACGTCAAAGATGTAAGCTTATCGTTTATATTTGATGTCTTTTAATAATTTTGGAAAGAGTTATAAGCTCGATCATATTCGATTCTCGTGTTTAACATACTTTGATCTAGAGTTAGTTATATTTGGTTAAGATTTACCCTTTATCTCAACATTAATTAATTTAGCAAAAAGCTTGACGCTTTTTGGTCAAACAAGTTCCTGGCTTAATCACTACAGTTTCCAAATTACTATTATTCTATCTCAATTAGAGTATTTTTCTTTTTTTAACAAATTAAGGTGAATATTATAGGGCTTTATTTGCTTTTAGTCCGTGTCGGAATTATTTACATTCGATAATTAAAACATATATAAAAATTTATATAACTTGTGTATATAATATACAAAATATGTACTATATATATTTCTAACTATTATCTGGAGAGGCAGCTACGGAGTGTCAAAATTAAATAACTCATCACTTTTGCATTGCACGAGTAACTCGAGTCCGGAGCATTTCTTGTTGGATATTTCATGTGGGACACATTCTTAGTGCCACCAAAACATGGTCCCACCTTTATATGCATGTTCACCACGTAGATAATAATCCAAACTTAACCAACGAGAAAGATGATGCACAACTTTCCTATTCACACTACACTTTATTTTAGATTTATCCACTCTATATAAAGAGTGATGGCAGCTCAAAATTCAAACAAAAACAAAAACCTAGATATATTACATGCGAAATTTTTACATAATAAAACATAAACAAATTATACTTTCCACTCTAGCTAGTATTTTTTTCAAGTTCTAACAGTAGTATTGGGACTTGTAATTAATTAGCTCAACCCTAACAAATCACCATCTTCATTCCATCCCCCCTCCACCCTCCACCACCCACCACCTACCTTTTACCTCATTTAACATCATGTTTTCTCCTTCTCCAATCTCTCTACTCTGTGCTCTTTTACTTTGCTTACCACTTGCTATTATCTTTACTATCACTACCCCTCTTAATAATATTACACCACCTCATGCCTTAAATAGTACTAGTAGTGACATACGTTCTAACCCTATATCCACATTCCCCCCACCAACAAATCATAGTATCCAACAAAAACACAGCAAAGAACATCCTAGTACAGAATTATCTTCAGTAGTACATTTGCACGAGGAAGTTGATGATAACTTACTATTTCAAGAAGCTGCCAAAGTCGACTCAATACCACAACCAGTTACAGCACCAAAGAAACTAGCATTCATGTTTCTCACAACCACACCACTTCCATTTGCGCCTCTATGGGAGCTTTTCTTTAATAATACGCCTAAAAACCTTTACAACATATATATACACGCCGACCCACGTTTCAACTATACGCCGCCGTTTCAAGGCGTGTTTGCTGGCCAAGTCATCCCTTCAAAACCCACTCGCCGCCACTCTCCAACTCTGACTGCGGCGGGGCGCCGTTTACTCGCCCGGGCACTCCTCCATGACAAGTTGAATTACATGTTTGCCCTTCTTTCCCCATCTTGTATTCCGCTTCACTCTTTTAGTTTCACTTACAGAGTTTTGATAAACTCTAAAAAGAGCTTTATTGAGATACTGGGGAATGAGAGCTGGGCATACGACAGATGGGCGGCGCGTGGGGAACACGCGATGCTACCGGAAGTGAAGTTTGAAGATTTTCGAATTGGGTCCCAATTCTTTGTTATAAAACGTAAGCACGCGCGGATAATAGTGCGTGACAGGAAGTTATGGTCAAAATTCAAGCTACCTTGCTTAGAAGCTTCCACGTGTTATCCTGAAGAGCATTATTTCTCTACGCTGCTGAACATGGTAGACCCGCAAGGTTGTGTTCCAACAACTTTAACACACGTTAACTGGAAGGGTAGTCAGGGGGGGCATCCTCGTACTTACACAGCTAGCGAGGTGGGACCAGAATTGATCTCGACCCTTCGATCGGCCCGGCCTCGATATGGTGATGAAGTAACCAACAGTTCGGATTTATCTGTTGCTAAACGATATGACCCTTTCTTATTTGCGAGGAAATTTTCTCCAGATTCTCTCCGGCCATTAATGAATATATCGAGCGACTTTATCTTTAAAGATTGACCATATTTAGTTGTGGTTCTCCTCTTTATTTCTTCTACTTCAGATTCCTCAGCTAGTCAGCTATAATTCTTTATCCGACAAAGCTCCGGAAAGAAACAATTTAAGAATAAAAATAAAAAATCTCAACTTGGCAAAAGTCAAAAAATAAATTAAAAATCCTATCTCATTATTTTTTTTAAAATTAACTTGTGCGTATTTCAACTATTACATATGATTTCTTGGGGCTATTTGTTAATTCTCACCGGTACAGATACTGAGTAATTATGTTTATCAAAGTTTAGTCAGACGAAAATAAATTACTTAATGTTTGTCATTGTTGGAATTTAAATTCAAATTTTCAAAGTTTGCATTCACTTTATTGATCAATAAATCAACCTTGATCGCTCGTTAAATATTTCTCAAAAACAAGTTGAGTAATAATGTTTTCAAAGGTACGTTTACACGTGAGAATTACCTTGTTGGCCTAATAGTATGATCAGATTAGGTACATTTAATTAAATGGTCTAATGGACCACTAGTAGTAGTACTCGTGATAATCTATGAAATTAGCTTCAACTCACATCATTCATTTCCTACTTTGCTTTCGGATAAAATTGGGGCCACTGAGCACCCCAATTTTTCGGTGGGGCAAACGAAGCAAGGACATGATTACATTGAATCGGAATCGAAGCTAGGAACCTCTTGTACTAAGGTTCGAACGAAGTGCTTACCACCGGAGCCATCGAGACAATACCTCCCGAATCCTGTTCGAGCTCCAAGACCTTGAAAAGGATTACCAAACTGTTGTACACGACTAACGAAGGACCGTGATATCCGCGCCCAACTGAATATCATGGCGTGGATCTCGGCCCGTATCGGCAACAGAACATTGATTAACGAAAAAGAAGATTTTTACTTTTCTTAGAATTGTACTAGAGATGAAATTCTCCTACTATATATAAAAGAGGTAAATTTTATTTAATAAGAGCACGGTAAAACGCATATCAAGGCAATATAAACTTGCTTTCTTTGCTTCTAAGTTATTCAAAAGTTCTTATTTTTCTCATAGCTCTTCACATATAATTTGGCTTCGAATCGAGGGCAGAACAACTGTTAAGCTTAGGCTCGAGCCCGGAGTCAACATCACAACTAGTTTGGTTATTTATTTTATCTTTAATTCACTTATTTAACGTTATTGATCACTTATATTCAATTAATCCACATATCTTTAAAATCGCGTATAAATTCAATTGTTATCCATTTTTAAGGGTAAACAGTTTGGCGCCTACCGTAGAGCTAAGGATAATAGTGGTGGTTTGATACAAATTTTCATAACACACTCTATTTTACGCTTGCTCTTTAAGGTTTCAATTTCAGGACATCTTAAATTTTTTTTGTCAAACTTTCAGTCTGCACACTTAAACGTTGATGTTGAGTCATACCATCATGACGAAAACAACAATATGGTGCCTAGCAATGAGGTGCCCCCTGCTGATCCCAACGGAATCCCAGTTGTAGAGTCAGTTGATGTTAACTCTCATATGGCCATCGACGCCAACCTGCCTACCGATCTTGAGAACAAAGTTCCTGGAGGAACCCGACCAATGGCTCGAGGAGTGCCCGAAGGTGAAGGCGACGAAGTCAGTTTACGAGTGATCTTCGAAATGTTGCAGGCCAAATATGCGGCGATAGTCCAACTACAAAATCAAAGTTGCGTCCCCAGAAGAGTCGAACCCAAACCATCCCGGAAAAATACCCGAAGAAATGAGTAGATCACCGAAAGGCCAGGATAAATAAAGACCGTTGTCAACCCCGAAGTAATGAAAATGTTTGAAGCATTGGCCAGATGAGTGGAGTCATGTGAAAAGAAAATTGAGGAAAACGACAAGAAGGTAGAGACATATAATTCCTCGGTGGATCAAATCCCAGGAGTGCCTCCGATATTGAAAGGCCGAACTCCAAGAAATTTGTCCAAAAGCCTTTTCCTCCAAGCGCGACACTGAAGCTAATCCCGAAGAAGTTTCGTATGCCCGATATTCTGAAATATAACAGAACCACATATCCAAATGAGCATGTGGCCTCCTACACATGTGCCATCAAGGGTAACGACTTGGAAGACGACGAAATTAAGTCGATTTTGCTAAAGAGGTTTGGAGAAACTTTGTCAAAAGGAGCAATGATATGGAATCACAACTTACCCCAAATTCTATTGATTCGTTTGCTATGCTTGCAGATGCCTTTATGAAAGCACATGCCGGGGCCATCAAGGTCGAGATTAGAAAATTGGACCTTTTCAAGGTAAATCAAAGAGACAACGAAATGCTCAGGGAGTTCGTATCGAGGTTTCAAATAGAGCAGATGGATTTGCCACTGATTGCGGATGATAGGGCCATTTAGGCGTTCACCCAAGGACTTATCCCCCGAATCTCATTGGCTTCACGCCAGCTAAAACAAAATTTGGTAGAGTACCCGGCGATAACTTGGGTTACGTCCACAACAGGTACTAGTCAAAAATCAGAGTCGATAATGATCAGCTCGGGGCCCCTTCTGGGTCTGTTTATCCCATCCGAACTGAAAACAGATCTAAGAGAGTCGTCGGTCATAAATTGAGATCGATCCGAGACTGGTATCAATCATATAGAGGAGTTCGAGGGGTAACAGATCTGGGCGTCACCTTACGAGGAACAAAAAGAAGAGCGATCAAGGCCAAAATAATCGGGGTCCAATGAGCAAAAATTGTTTCGATAAACCACTCAGGGCCAGGGAGGCACTATGATTATCGGAATATAACTTCAGTGTCGATGCTGCCAGGACCGTATCAGCCATCAGACGCATCAAAAAGACAAAGTGGCCTCGACCACTGCAGTTTGACCCTGCCTAGAGAGATTCCAACTTGATGTGTAAGTATCATGGCACTTCAGTCCACACAGGACTGAAGATTACCAGCAATTGAGAGAAGAAATTGCCCGGTTATTTAATAACTGACACCTACGAGAATTTCTGAGTGATCGAATCAAAAATCACTTTAGAAACAGGGACGCCAACAAACAGACTAGACAAGAGGAATATCAACACGTCATCAACATGATCATTGGAGGGATCGATGCCCCTCAAGTGCCGATGATAAAATGCACTAAAGTGTCGATCACAAGAGAGAAACACACCCGAGATTATATCTCGGAGGGAACTATTTCATTGAGCGACGAGGATGCAGAGGGTATCGTACAACCTCATAATGATGCACTGGTAATTTCTGTACTTATCAATAAATCTCGAGTTAAATGTCTGTTGATTGATCCATGTAGCTCGGCCAACATCATCAGATCGAGGGCCGTAGAGCAGTTGGGTTACAAGATCAAATAATGCCAGCATTTCGAGTGTTGAACAGATTTAACATGGCATGCAAAACCACTAAAGGGGAGATAACCCTACCCGTGAACACCATCGGGACCATCCAAGAAACAAAGTTCTATGTGATCGAAGGGGACGTGAGATATAACGTTTTGTTCGGAAGACCATGGGTTCACAACATGAGGCCAGTGCCTTCGATATTACACCAGGCATTAAAGTTCCCTACTCCGGGTGGAATCAAGACGGTATACAGAGAGTAGCCGGCTACAAGAGAGATATTCGCAGTCGAGGAAGTACTCCCGATGCCTGCTGTCCCGACGTTGAGGAGCATAGAGACGACCAAAAAATTAGAAGTCAAATAGCAACCACCGATGCTGGTCTCAGTCGGACCGGAGGAACGAGGAATTGACGAGGAGGATGATTACAGACTTTCGAGATCATTCATAGATCCCACTGACACCGACACTACTAAATCGATGGTCGAGGATCTGGAGTAAGTCATATTAACTAAACACCTACAGGATCAAAAGGTATACCTTGGCACGGGGTTAACCTCCGAGCTCAGGAAATAACTCATTAGTTTTCTTAAAACTAACATATCTTGTTTTGCTTTATCCCATCTTGATATGATAAGGATCCCCCCGGAGATAACCACTCGTAAGTTGAGTTTGGATCTAAAGTTCCACCCAATTAAATAAAAGAGGAGGCCTCAGTCCAAATTCAAGAATGCATTTATCAAAGACATGTATTTAATCTCCTTAAAATAGGTTCTATTTGGGAAGTTAAATACCTAGACTGGTTGGCGAGCGTAGTGGTAGTGCCTAAAAAGGAAAAAAATTTAGTAGTGCGTAGACTATAATGACTTTAACGAGGCATGCCCTAAGGACACTTTTCCTTTGGCTAACATCGATCGCACCATCGATGCAACGGCTAGGCACGAGATACTCAGCTTTCTCGACACCTATTTCGGGTACAACCAAATCCGGATGGACCCAGGCGATCAAGAAAAGACTTCTTTTATCACTAAATTCGGCACCTATTGTTATAATGTAATTCCATTCGGGTTAAAAATTTGTCGAATCCACTTATCAATGCCTAGTAAATTGGATGTTTGAAGAACGTATAAGAAAATCAATAGAGGTTTATATTGACGATATGTTAGTCAAGTCCATGCGAGCAGAGGACCATTTGAAACATTTGTGCGAAACATTTGACATATTGAAGAGGTACAATATGAAGCTGAGCCCAGAAAATTCGAGGTCATATTCGGAAAATTCCTCAGGTTCATGGTGTCCAATCGAGGGATCGATATTAATCCCGATAAAATCAAAGCTATAGAAGGCATCACCATGGTGGACAGTGTCAAGGCTATTCAGAGTCTAACCAGGCGTATAGCCACCCTGGGCCGATTCATATCGAGGTCCTCAAACAAAAGCCATCGATTCTTCTCACTATTGAAGAAGAAGAATAACTTTTCTTGAAACCAAGAGTGCCAAAAGCTTTGGAAGAACTCAAATGGTACCTTTCAAGTCCACCTTTGCTCCATATTCCGAAGGTGGATGAACACATGTACCTTTACTTAGCAGTATCCGGGGTGGCAGCAAGTGGATTCTTAGTTTGAGAAGAGGAAGGTACGCACTTTCCTATTTACTATGTTAGTAGAACTCTAGACGAGGCCGAAACAAGGTATCCTCACCTGAAAAAATTGGCACTCACTTTGCTAAGCGCCTCTAGAAAGTTAAAACTATACTTTCAATGCCAACCCATATATGTCGTAACCTCTTACCCACTGAGGAAAATCATGCACAAACCTGAGCTCTAGAGCCGGTTGACCAAATCGGCAGTCAAAATTAACGAGTACAATATCGAGTATCGACCTCGAAC